TTGATTTGCTATAAAAGCTTAAAAAAGATTATGTCAAAAGGCAATATAATACGGCTAATAAACATTTAAAGTTGTAAACAATCTTTTGGTGGTACAAAACTTGAGAATGGCTCTGAAAAAAGCAAACATTCAGAAAACTAAAGCTTTTCGTCTGACACTCTTCAGAGTTTAAAACGTCAGAACATAGGTCGAAAAATCTACGCTAGGAAATATATATACCCAGTTGTGGATCGAAATAGGCCAATCAGAAACAGGAGCACATGACTGTATAGGTTGACCAATCAGTGCCGCTTGCCTATTGAGAATGTTACCAATTGAGTCTTAGGTGAAAACGAACTCCTTTTACCTACACAGAAGCGGTTTTCTCGAGCTTATGTAGATAGATTACAAAGCTGCTAGGTAGAACGACGATCGGGCTTTACCAATAATCCGAAACATTTCGCCATTATAGTTTTTTGCACAATCTGGGTTTCCAGTAAATGCTGACCGATAGCAGAATCGCAGGTTTTAGTTGTAATTTTAGATTTGCAAGACCGACGTGGCTGTTCTCTTTGGGGAAGGTTTTTGTTTCTAATATTAGACGGAACATGTTGTTTTATTCTATCCTCCAATCTTTGGGTAATGCGCCCTACGTTGCCAGAATCACACTGGCACGTAAATTCATATACAACAGAACTTTTTTGTGTGGCAGGAACGCAGTCATTTTGAATGGACGGAAGGGCCTTTTTCGAACTATAAACAACACGTGGGTTGACTGCAAAGAAACAATTTGCAATGGCCTGTTTTATTTGGCTTTCAAAACGTAGGGAACTGTCACCGATCCAGGGTAGTTTTAGATAGACCGGGCACTTTTGAGGACCAAATTTTACGTCAGCCGAGAAATTTCCTATCTTCTTCTTAATGTAAACTGAAATAACATCCTCTGGATAGCCGTTCTCCAGAAAGATCTTAGTTAGTTTTTTCACTGTGCTACTTAAATTGTCATACAGAAAATTTACTCAGTGGTCTTGCTTCATGCTGTCTATCATATCAACATTGTCTTCAATTAAAAGGCGAGCAATAGTTGGTCTTCACGCATTCTCCGACATCGATTATGTGTCCATGATTTCCAAAAAAAGGGAAAAAGTCATTCTGAAAAGCAATGTTAAAGCGCAACGAATTCGTGAGCACTTTTGCAAGGTTTGGAACAGATGTCCAGCCCATCCAAATGCTATCGAGGTCCTGGAGAAGCTTACATGCTTTCTTTACGGTTTTTCAACAACTGTCACCAAGGCCAATGACGCCCGCTCAATAAGTTTCTGGAAGATTTTTGAAACTTAAGGGAAAGTTTTTGAACTTAGTTTAATGCCACCGTGTGTTGCCAATCTCATTTGCACAAAGCTACATTAGCTTATGTTGCAAACATTTACAGAAATGCAGACCAGTTGCAGTTAAGCATTGGCAGTCCAGTTGATCATGGTTGGGATGCAGCCGGTAACGCATCGTGGAGTAAAGACATATAAGTAGATAATAATGCCGAGCTGCTTCTAAATATCAATCAAGATGCTGAAGAAGACAATATTGACCCAATGAATGACAATTTCTTTGAGGATGAGTATAGCAATGACTCTGATGACAACGGATACTAGAATGTTTATTCAAAACAACTTTAAATGTTTATTAGCCGTATTATATAGCCTTTTGACATAATCTTTTTTAAGCTTTTAAAGCAAATCTATGTGTGCAGCAGATTTTACTCTAGAAATATTGAAAACGATAAATAAACGATTTTAGCATGAAAAAGAGACAAGTGCATAAAGAATTCCGCCGTATGAGATCAACCTTCGAAGTCAGTGTATCGAAATTGATGAGAATAAAAAATTTACAAACTTTTTTTCAACGTTCAAATTTTGATGAAAACGAGGTTTGGACATGAAATAGAGGCTTCCTGGTACTGAATTTACATTTATAAAATAATTTTTTGAAATCAACATATGAAAATTGATAAAAATCGATTCATTTACAAACTTTCGTTCAACGTTCAAGTTTGGACGAAAACGAGGTTTGAACGTGAAATAGAGGCTTCCTGGTACCGAATTTCTCCGTATAACATCGATTTTCGTAATCAGCGTATCGAAATTGACCAAATAGAGTTGGTCTTGCAAATTCCCTCGATGGGTGACGATACCCCCCCTTCCTCGCCTGGTCTATTAATCTTTGAATTTAAGGGACTATGATATAAATGATTTGATCAAGAAGACACATTCTTAAATACACTCAATTCCTTAAAGGAAACTGGAATTAGTTCATTTAGTGCTTGGAATTACAAAAAGCTTTGCAATTTTTTTGGCATATTTTTCAATAAAAACCAAAATGGCACAGAAGATACTGAGAAAAATTGAGTGTGACTTTATTTGGAGGGTTTAGCAACATTATCAAAACATGTTTTTGAGCACCTTAATGGCAGCACCAGGCAACTTTATAAAAAAGGTGTCATTGAGCCTAAGCAGATAGACGATGAAAAAACTCTTACCCACCCGATAACGAATAACGAAATAAAGATACAAAATTGAATGGTTCGACCTTTGGCATCTATAAAAAATGGACCTCAAATTTTGAAAACAAAATGAACATATTTCACAATAACGACAAACCTGGCATATCCAATTTAATGTCTAGCTTTTCAAGATCGATTCTAGTTTTTCTGTAAACATCACTTATCCAGGAGCTTCAGTTATCAATTTCCCTAAAAATGGATCAAGCAATATTCAAAAATTCGCCATTCTCTGTTTTTATTGTGAACTGAGAAGATCTCAAAACATTACCGAAAAACTGTGAGTGATTTGACTATCAGCGTTACATAGGAGAGTGATTGGATTATAAGACAATGTATTCTATTTTAGGATTGACATTAGAGGTATAAAAATGGTTGTTGCAAATGTTAAGCAGCCATAAAAATCAAGTGCTAGATTTCGTATTAGTCACGTGCCAGATCAGGGAATTATTAGACAGAGCTCTCCAAAGATGATACAAAACAAAAGCTGAAAATCTTAAGACTCTGCCAGATTGAAATTATGAGAGCACCTGTTCACAATGAAAAGCAGTCCCATAGAAAATTAAAAACTAAATTGGAAAAAGTAGCTTGTAGAAGTGAGAGAGCCAATAACCCGGCTATTGGAAATCTCGCTGCCATAACACTCCTGTAAGTGTAAAAACTAAACTACAGAGATATTCACCTGAAGTTTAATCGGCTTTCTGAATTTTGTGTTGCCTTTTGTCGGAGCCAACGTTGCAGAAGAACAGGCATGGTTGGTGGGAGATCAATTAAATTGAAAAATCCACGAATTCCTTACCCAAATCGATCCATGCTGGAATAAATCAAACACTTAAAACAAGTAGATATTCTTCTTAAGCAAAAAAGTAGATGAGAATTATATGGCTGAAAGAAAGGCTGCAGATAGGCAATAGACACTGATGAAAATCAGTACTGAAAAGTATAAAGACTGTTGCTTTACAAATAGTTTTAACACAAAAAAATCCCCATTAAATCCGATTAAACCAAAATGTTCATATCCAAACTGAGACAAAGAACACTTGCACAATATGAAAGTGTTGAAATGTCTTTCTTTGGCAATCTAGATCTGAAACCAACGTTCTCTAAAAAATAAATCTGGAATCTATCGATGTTACCTTTCTTAGTCGCATGAGAAAGATTACACCACAGCCCATGTACGTTCTGAAGACAATTTTGGGTAGCTTCAGTGAATTTTATGCCTATATTTTGAAAATAAGGACTCAGTGATTTTTGAAAAAATCCATGACCAGACTTGAAAAAATCCAGACCAGAAAAAAATTCAAAAATTTTGAAATATTTTAAAAAAATTGTTTACTCGAAACAAACTAAAAAGCCTTAATGTACGTTCCAAACACCATTTCGGGTAGTTTCAGTGACTTTCACGCTCACATTTTGAAAATAAGGACGGAGTGATTTTTGAAATAATTAATGACCCTGGACCTGCAAAAAAATTCAAAAACTTTGAAATTTTTCAAAACAACGTTTTTTACTCAAAAAGACCTTAGCCTTAATGTACGTTCCGAACACTATTCCGGGTAGCTTCGGTGAAATTGTTGCTTATATTTTGAAAATAAGGACTTAGTGATTCTTGGAAAAATCCATGACCTCAGACCTGGAAAAATTTCTAAAGTTTTGAGTTTTTTCACATGAAACATTATAAAATGCTAAAAAAACGCCTTTCAGAAATCATTTCAAAACAGTTGATTGAGCACCAAGTGATATCTGAAAAAATAGGAGAAAATATAGATAGACTGTTTGACACTGAAACTTGACGAAAATCTCAAAAAATTTGAACTTTATAAAAAAATTGTTTACTCAAAACAACTTAAGATGCCTTAAGGTGTATTCCAAAAACCCTTTTGGGGTAGTTCAGGTGAATTTTATGCCGATATTTTGAAAATAAGGACTTGGTGGTTTTTAAAAAATCCATTCCCCTAACATCTAAAAAGTTGAAAAATTTTGAAACTTCTTCAAAATCTTTTTTTCCTTAAAACAACTCAAAAAGCCTTAATGTTTATTCCAAATGACTTTTGGGGTAGTTTCAGAGACTCTCCTGCGCATATTTTGAAAAAAGGATATAGTGATTTTTCAAAAATCCATGACCCTAATAAGGAAAAAACATCAAAAACTTTGAAATGTTTAAAAAAAATCTATATACTCAAAACCACCTGGAAAGCCTTATTATATGTTTCAAACACGATTTCGGGCAGTTTCAGTGAGTTTTATACTGATATATTGAAAATAAGGACTGAGTGATTTTTGGAAAAATCCATGACCCCAGACCTGCAAAAAAGTTTAAAAACAATGACATTTTTCAAAAAATTTCTTTACTCGAAAGGCCCTAAAAAGCCTTAATGTACATTCCATACACCATTTTGGGTAGTTTTAGTGAAATTTTTGCTTATATTTTGAAAATAAGGACTAAGTGATTTTGGAAAATTCCATGACCCCAAACCTGCAAAAAGTTCAAAGACCTTGAAATTTTTCAAAAAATTTCTTTACTCAAAGGACCTAAAAAGCCTTAATGTATGTTCCAAACACCATTTCTGGTAGTTTCGGTGAAATTTTTACTTATATTTTGAAAATAAGGACTTAGTTCAAAAATTTTGAAATTTTTTAAAATTTTTTTTTTGCTTGAAGCAAACTAAAAACCTTTAATGTACATTGCGAACACCATTTTGGGTAGTTAGAGTGAATTCTATGCTGATATTATAAAAATAAGGACTTAGTGATTTTTTAAAAAATCCATGACACCGGACCTACAAGAAAGCACAAATATTTTGAAATTTTTTAAAAAAAATTTTTTTGCTTGAAACAAACTAAAACCCTTAATGTACATTTCGAACACCATTTTGTGTAGTTACAGTGAATTCTATGCTGATATTTTGAAAATAAAGACTTAGTGGTTTTTGAAAAAATCCATGACCACAGACCTTCAAAAAAGTTGAAAAATTTTGTCAGCAATTGTCAGGCTAAATATTCATAAAACCTTTCAAATTGAAAAAAACTGAATCTTTTATGACTCAAGGAACAAGGAAATGTATCCACAAAACAGAATTAGTTAAATGAAACTATTCAATGTAAGAGCTTTTTGCCATTTTGTGAAAAGTCAGTTGAGAAATGAACCGGGGTGGAATCCATGTGAAGCTCACGCCCAACATCGCCAATAAACAATAGAAAGACAATAAAAATTGTTAGTCTATGCCGGATATCTCCAGCGTAAGCTACATGGATTCAACACTGGAAATTAACCATGGTTCAGCAATGGGTCAGCAATGATCAGGTTTTGACCTGGTCATTCATGGTAAAATGATACCAAATACAGAAAATTGTTCCTTTTTCTTTTCTTTCTATTTAGGGTAACTTCTTACACAGTCCAGAATTATTATTCTCAAAGAAAAAACAAGTTAAGTTCATTGCAGACAAAATCATTTTTCATTGATCAACCATTGTCACTAACCATGGTCAGAACTGTCAGAATCATGGCTCAACCATGGTAGGAGCATTGCAAAATATGGTTAGGCCATCAACTATTGTTGGGTTTTTGTAGGGGTAAAAGTGTAACCTCAGTGAATATGTTGTCTTTCAAGAATCAAACTGCTAGCCAATGACAAAATTTAGTTATTACAGCTAAATATATGCAAAATGTAACAAAATGTTTCTTAGTAACTAAAAACATAAATGTTACGGCTGACTTTAAAGCTGCAAGGTAGGTTGTAACATTTGGTAGATAATTTTCTTACATTGGACATTCTATGTCAACCATTTCCAGCAACATAAAGTTTAGGACCAGTGCATGATGCAGTATAAGCACACATTTAATGTAAAGAAACGGCCCTCCTAAATTGCTATTCCAATTTTCCCTCTCAATGCAGTAATTACGGAACTGATGAAAGAGTCGAAATGTGATGCTGCTTTGCACTGCTAAGTGAGCTGGTTTGAACCTCGCCCGCCTGGCAACCTTATCCACGAATGCCAGTTTGCAGGTTGCATTTGGGGTTCCCTTTTAATAATCAACCACCGGCATTAAAAATACCATAATTTGCACAAATGAAAATTTGCCAAAACTAATAAGGTGAGAAAAGAAGTTTGCAACATACCGCAACGAAATTGCTGAGATTTTCTGCATGATGATACCAAGTTCGTGTTGCAACCGTCCTCTTTTGAATCCCTCCCAGAACAGCATTTTTCGTACTTTATAGCAACTTGCATTTAAGCTGATTGTAAATAGATGTGTCCAAGATTGGTTGATAAGAACAAGGGAATGAAACTGCAATCTCGACCTTCGTCCATGGCCGCCTCGTGCAATGGAATACCATGTTGTTCATCGATGGTGTTCATTCCCGCCCTTTTCGTTGGCTGAAAGGCTGGAACCGAGGCTACAACAATTTAAAGGATACGTAAGAAAAGTTTCTTCTTCTCTTAATTTTCTTCTTCTTCTTAGTTTTCTTCTTCTGTAGACGCATAATTTTTTAAAACATATAAAAGTAATGACGTTTTGAAAAGAATCCACCACCATGTTGACGAACCTTATTTTAGTTCCTTGGTTTTGCTAACTTATCCTTTCAGTCGGTATAAACGATAAAAAAGTGCTCACTTAATGTCACAATAGCTGCTACACATGACACTTTCATGCAACATGCTGACAGAGAATGTCGAAAATATTCACGTTAGGCATTATATGCGGTTATGAATACTTTGTGGAATGAATTCCAAGCCCTTTTCCCAAAGGCAGCATTTAAGATAGTGAGCACATAACTGCACATCAACATAATGGTGATCAAAGCCTACTTACTTCAACGTGGTTCACTTTTTCCCGTGTTCTGCATTAAAAGACCTTCGTACCCGCAGTTATTACCAGCAAGAATATTTTTCTGCAAGTCACAGGGTAGATCCTTGCCTTTTTTCTCCAAATGAAGATGTCATCAGTGTTTGCGGAAGAACAGAATTTTAGGGAAATTTGTCGTAGATTGCGGAAATCTGGCAATTTATCAACGAAACGAGGGAATTCTACACACTTGCCGGACGCAGATTTTCTCAAAATAATACACGGATTGCAGAAATTTCAAAATGTTTAGCGGGATTCTTAACCTGCTCCTTGTTGGATAGGATTTTATCATCGCATGTTTTGATCTAGTTAATATATAAGTTGTTCATAAATAAACTTATATACATTCAGAGGTGGCGCCAGAAATCTTCCGACAGAGGGGTTGGAGCTTCCAACAAGGGGGCTAAATTGACTATAATATGCAGTTTTCGTACGTTATTTTGTCAAGTTTGCTCCGAAAATAGCCTAAAATTTTCTTCCGATAGGGGGGCTAGATGCTTCCGATAGAGGGACTGTAGCGCCCTAGCCCTCCCCTGGCGCCACCACTGTATACATTCTATTGCCCAGTTGCCCCCTATCTGCTATTTTTGACCAGAAAGTACTTATTTCCACATTGTAAGGGCATGTTTGTTGAATAAAAGTTGTTCAGCATGAAACTGTCTTTCAGAATATGTACATATAATGTGGTTTTAGCGACATCAAAATTTGAACCCCTGCTGATCAGTGCGCCATATGGGATTTGCCCAAATAAGGAATTCCCAATGTCCAATTCATGGGGCTTTTTACTGGTTATTCCCAGTATCGTATGGAACCTATGTGCCAAATTACAGCCTTTTATTATTTTTGTTCGGGTAAAATCGTAATTCCACCACAATAGACGTGTATTGCACATTGAGCCAATCCCACCAGCATCTAGCCAGCACCATGTCCTTCAAAGTCAGTACTGCCTCTCTCGTTCCCTTCTGTCATCCACCTTTCCAAGACTTATTTCGTGTAAATAAGCACACTGGAAGGATTTTAAAAATAAAGAAATAGTTGACCGGTCTATCTTACCTCTAATAAAGCATGGTAACAATGAAATGAAAATTCATTGGCCTACGAAGAAAATCTACATGTTTTTCTGGCCAGGCACTCGAAATACTTAAGAACCCCTGGTCTAGGGAATTCTCTGCGTGTTCGTGACTGATCTCCATTCGACATTGAGTAGTTTGATTTTCGATACTACAGTTCCCAGCTTCCAGACACTTTAACTATGTTTTTATTTTCGTGAATTTCATGTTACTTTGAATCTGTACCGAAGCCAACATATTGAAAGGCAACAAAATTAGTCACAAACAATAATCACCAAGCATTTTTAGATTACTAAAATTTCATTTCATTTTGATCTCAGGGTATTCACTTAGTACCTTGAATACCCGGACACTACACCACTGATGTCGCAACAATCTGGGTCAAGCTAACTAATACTGGCCGAAGCAAATTGGCTACTAGGGTTTCTTATTACCCATGTAGGACTTAAGATAGTGCTTTGTGCTGAAAATACCTGTTAGCTGACAAAAAACATGGCGCTCCTTTGGTGCTACTTTGGCGCTACTTTGGCGCTTTTCAGAACATTTCCTAAATTTCTGCCTGAAACACGTTGGTCAGAGCATTTCAAAATCACAAATAATGTCAATAACAATTTTGGGGGCAATATTGCAGTATCTAGACACGCACTCCTTTAATCAGGAGCTGTCGAAGTAGGAATGCTCTGTTATGTTTAAAAACATGCATTTCTTGAGTGAGCCTACAGAAATATAGAATATTGCAAAAACAAGCGCTGAAAACTAATTCAAAGTCAAGACCATTGAGTCTTAAATGCGAATACAGCAACTTTGGCAAAGGTTTGCTGTATTAGCTCGAAGAGGATGAGGAAAATGAGATGTTAAGTTTTGTAAATTGCTTGCTGGTGGACATTCTAAACCCAGTAAACAGTCGTGAAGCAGCTGCAATCTTACAGTCAAAATCATGCCACAGTATTGTCTATAGTTTAAGCAGTGCGTGAGGAGCTCAAGGAACGATGTGTAAACTTGACTGAGGCCCGATGCATGGAAATGGTTGCAGCGCTCAGCGAAAAGGGGGCTTTGTTCCCCAGCGCTTTGATGATTTTGTCCCTAGTACTCTCCGTCAGAAAGTCAGTAATAAAGGCTGAAAGCTTCCAATATTTCTGAATCGTACAAGGTCCTTATACCTCTATACAAATGTGCAGCGAAAGTTTCCTGTTCTGGCAAAATGTTGGAGGAGGTTGGTAAGCAAAATCTTCCCTTGAGTGCTAAATGACGAGAAGCGGCCAGAAGGTGGCAATCCTGGACAAAAATAGTTGAGACTTTTTACATTAAAAATACCTACTTACGATTCCCC